TAAAGTGTTAAAGTGCTTTCTTGACTTGTTATGTGATATTTGGAAAGTGGTTTTCCTGAACCATCGAAGTGGCAGTGTGTACTTTATCGCACTAGCCTTTCGAGTGGTGGCTTGGTTGAAATGTTTTCTCGAATATCTTGCAATTGTTGACTGGAGCGTGGACTCGTCAACTAATCTACCAGGCAGGGGAACGTACCACACCTTAGGGTGGGAGGGCCTCCTATCCTGACCTGGTAACCACTTGTTGTGACGTCGTTGGGTGAACCCCTCGACTAGTTTACAAAAAGGTATACTCGAGTAATACCAAACTCTCTCGTGGGGCGTACGGGCCCGGTGTGGGAGTAAGTTGGTTGGAGCGTGTTAAGAGAAAATGTGATAGCCCCACCTCCCCCTAAGGCGAACCAGAGGGTTCGGCGGGCCGCCTGCCCAGCTCTCGCCGGGACTCAGTCGTTCACTACAATTCTCAAATGAATTACAAGAATAAACCTCAAATATTACAATGTAAATCTCCAATATAACTCAAATGTTCCAACATTTACATATCAAAAGCGAAGCGTCCACGCTTCCACTGCGCCACTCTGATCCATGATCCCAATTCTTATACAAGAGGAATTCCACAACAATAAAATCACAACAAGCCTTCCTTCGCCACGAGCCCTGTGGAGGGGAATAAAATATTTTTGGGGTGAGCTAGAAGCTCAGCGAGTAACCATTAAAATCAGTAATCAAATCGGTTTCACAATAGTTCATTTCAATGATGTCATAAATCAAATGATAAGTCCAGAAACAATTACAACATTTACAATACATTAAAATGGAGTATCAATAATTCAAGGAACATTTACAATGGAAAGCGATAGTAACATTCATTAAAAGGATACAGGCTCACAAGGAGCAATTCGTTGTTCGTTTCCCATTCATTTCCCCTTATACCTCCAATCGTTTGAAAATACATTTTTTTTGTAAGTAGAATCCCTCGTTCATCCTTTTGTTCGTTCATCCCCTTTTCCGGACGTTGACCGGACTCCACCCATCCGACCATTGGCCGGACTCCACCCATCCGGACGTAGCCGGACTACAAGGTAATACTCGAGTATACCAAATTCACCCAGGGTCACCCTATCGCCCGACCGAGTCCGCTTCTGGCTCGAGTCGATCGGTAACAAAGGGCAGTGGCCAGTTCAGCCAAACGGCTTACATTCATGCGCAACTAGCATTTAATCATTAATTATTAAAATTTTCATATTTATTTAGGTCGAGTGCGATAAAGTACACACTCACCTAGAAAACTCGTTTTAACAATCATTGAAAGCACTTAACACATTATCAATCAATAATAACAAGCCAATAAGTCAAGGAAATATATCAAACAAGGAACACTCTCATATAAGCACGCATGATATGCAAGAAAACAGTTCAAAAGTAACTTTGGAAATAGTTTAGAAGTAAATAATGCAATAAAACAGTTCAAAAGTAAATAATGCAGGAACGGTTCATAAATAACTTTCGAAATAGTTTGAGGTCACTCACCTCAATGGCTCAGAAATCATCCATCATATAACATTGCCTTGCTCAAATCCAAGTCTTAGATCACAAACTCAATGCAAACAAATCCCTTCAAAGTTCGGACAACACTTCCCCTGAATTTGATAACTTTTCCAACCATCCTGGCTTCATTATTTCCTCATTCCAACCCCAAAGGTACACACACAACAACAAGTTCATCCAATAGCCACTCAGCAAGCTCCAAGTAGTACTAGTACAAGTCAAGCTAGGGAAAAGTCCGGAAATGAAAGTTAAGCTCAAAACCAGAAAAATAGTTTTGACGTCATTTTGCGGTAATGGTACCAAAGGCGCTACGATTGTCGGATGAAGGTTCAAGACCCACCGTTTCGAAGCTAAAAGACAGGGCTACAACAATGCAGAAGGTCACTCAACCCAGTTTCGAGTGTAACCAGGTCAAAAATGCAAGATACCATACCAGAATCACAAAAACAGAGTCACAGAACGCATTCTAGCGGAAACATCATAACTCAGGCTCTCCAAGTCCAAATCCTGGAATTCCAAAACCATCTGAAATATAAGAAACAGGGTTACATTTAATCAGAAGGCCTCAACAACCAATCCAGAAGCAATTCCAGCCAAAACAACCAATTACAGGCGCAATTCTTACATTCGGGTAAAACCAGAACAACAATAGTAATTTCGACTTTTCTCATTCTACACTACTCCGATTGACCTGAAATTTTGTAGAAACCTCTAAAATATCATTCCCTACAACTTTCATGTTTTAAGCCAAGGCCAATTCGGCCTCTAACAAGGAGCTAAAAATTCGGGCAGAATGAAGAACATTGAAACCTAGTTTTCCACTTTTCCTTCCAAAACAGAAATTGATTGTAATTAATCACTTTTTCCACCTCCTAGAGTCATTAAACATCATTTCCAATCATCATATATGACCCCATAATCATATCCATATGAAAACAGAAAAATCCCCAAAAATTATAAAACTTCACCAATTCAACCAAAATCAAGATATAATCCATAAAAGTGCATCTTATACCACCACCAATCATGAATTGAACATCAATTAAGGGAGGAGAGTGGTTCTTCAGAACTCACCTTAGCCATACAAGAGATAGAGCAACAAATCACCTTAGCTTTCCAAACAACTCCACAACATACCTCAAGACCACTTAGCAAAGAGATTTTATGGAATGATTTGGAGTTTTATTGGTTGGATTTGAAGATTGAGCAAGAAATAGAAGGAAGAAATTGAGAGCTTTTCTTTCTTTCTTGAGCAAGAACATTCGGCCAAGAAGCTTGCAAAATGAAGCTTATTTTGATCAATTTTTTTTGTATTTATTTGGTAAAGGTAAAGGTAAAGTCAAATGGTCAAAGTCCAAGATTAAATCACAAGGTGACACTTGTCACCTTTTGGTTCAAAACTTATCTTTTTGTCTCTCCAATACAAATATCTTAACACCTTGTAAAATAATATCACTTTCCAACAAGTTGTCAAAAATATATTGCGTTTACCGCACTTGCGGGTCCCACGTTCAAAATACGCTCTTAATTTCTCAAAAACTAACCGATACTAGAAAAATCATTTTAAAACTATTTTTGCTCATAAACTTTATTTGGGAAATTTTTCTAATAAAGAAAATGTAGAAAAGGCGGGCGATTAAATAAAATAAACCCTAGAAAATTAGAAAATTTCCGGATTTGCACACTTATACTTTTCGGGGCGTCACAGAAAAAAATATGAATCTACATGGATTTTAGATAGTGAAAGTTGACGGAGGGTCAACTGCGGTTCATTTTGATCAAGTGCGGGGAAATGGCTCTTGACAGCTCCTGTATCCTATCCTGTGTTGTTATACGCTTTCTTATTTGTTGAATTTAAGCTTGGAACTATTATTTGCTATTTGCTTTTATGATTGCATGTTTTTGGGCACCACTGAGCTTTAGCTCACCACACGATGTTTGTTTTCCTTAACAGGTTTCAGCATCCGGAAGTTTTGAAGTCTGCTTAAGCTTTCATAATTGTAGTTCGAGTCGTTTTAGTATCTTTGTTTTGGGTTGTCACTTGAAGTTGGAAAAGTGCAAACCCTAAGTTCTGGCTTGTATGAATTTATTTGAGCTCTCTGAGTTTATTGTGTGGTTTGTAACATATATATTTGTAGTTTGTGTTGAACTAGATGGAGATGTACTTAAGAGGGAACGTTTGGATGTTCAATGGTAATGTTATCTCTGAAGTTAATGTGTTTTAGAATTTCAGTTGTTTTAAAGCTTGGCGTGTTCGGGTGACGAATGGTGTTCTGGTTTTAAATTATATGTGGATTTTTAGTAGGTTTACTTGCGTGAGTCCTGGCGAGAGCTGGGCAGGCGACCCGCTAACCCTCTGGTTCGCCTTAGGGAATAGTGGGGCCGCCACATGTGGTATCAGAGCCTATGTTAGAATTTATTTGGAAGATATATTAGATATGCTAGAAATCTTGAGCCTTTTAAGAGTTAAGAAGTGAGTTGGTTAGATATACCTTAAGTGGCACTCGAGCAAGTTAGCTATTTAAGTATTAACCTTTGGATGTGGTTGCTTTGTAGGTATGGAAAACGGAAACGGACATGCTAATGCTAATGGAGTGGCTAATGGACATGTAGAGCCTCTTAGGTCCATCTCCTATAGGCCACATGACGGAGGACCTCGTATACGTTATACACCAACTGATAGGTTTCCTCGATGCCAGTGTAGGGTCACGTATGCTTACCCTAACGAGTTAGTGCTGTCCTTGGACGACGAGCATCGCCAGTTGAGAGACGCTAATCATATTTTGACCCAGGATGTCGAGGAATTGAGCATCATGGTTGATACTCAGATGGATCGTATAGCTGAGCTCCAGCAGAGGTTAGCAGCCGAGAGGGCTAGGTCAGAGGCCGCTCGTGAGGAGTTAGGGAGACAGAGGTCTCGATTGACTCGAGTAGCTGAGGAGGTACGTGATAGGTGTGCGGGTATTATGGCCGACGCCACTATGATGATAGACGAGGTCATGGGGATAATTGAGGGTACTGCTTAGGCAGGTGTGGAGGAGGACCCGGAGGAGGACCCGGAGGAGGACCTTAAGGAGGCCGTTGCTCCTGGCAGCCCTGCTGAGGGTTAGACCAGGCTTGCCTTGCTTGTAAATGGGTATCCAGGGTTGGTTAGGGTGACACTAGTTTAGGTCCTAGCATTTTGTCTAGCTAGATGGCCTACTTTTGAGGCACTATATCCCTATCTTGGTTTAAGGAGTTGTTTGTACATATTTACTAAACTTGTGTGCCTTACTTTTGGAAGGCACCCTAACCTGCTAGCTGTATGAACTTTGGTATGTGAATATGTGTTTTAAATGTTCTATTTTCTTTCTCTTGATATTCATGATGACTTTAATTGATAATAATAAGTAAATAAATAACAATAATTTTCGCTTAATCGTTTTATTTATATCAATAGGCATAACTAGGCTATGGATCGACGCGTTAGAGGTAGAGAACGTGGGAGATCAACTAGGCAACACCCCGAGGGTAGTGGTGATAGGGAACCTGAGGTCAATCAAGACCATGGTCAAGGAAACGTGGCCGGAGACCCAGTGGCCACCGCAATTAATAGAATAACCAATGTTCTAGAGCGCATGACCGAGCACCCAGCTCCGGGGGCAGTGCATCATCAAGGAGGCCCAATCGATACCGAGGATCGGGCATTAGAGAGATTCTTGAAGTTTGGACCTCCTAAGTTCTATGGAGGTCCAGAACCTGAGGTAGCCGAAGGTTGGTGGGAGAGGATATCTGATATTTTTGCCGCTCTAAACTATACGGAAGAGAGGCAAGTGACTTTTACAGCATTCCAGTTTGAGGGAGCTGCTCGTTCCTGGTGGAACCTAATTAGGGTTAATTGGGACAGGAACCATATTCCTAGGACCTGGGCGAACTTCACTCGGGAGTTCAATGCCAAGTTTCTACCCCCTCTCATCCAAGAGAAAAGAGAGGATGACTTTATCAAGTATAAGCAGGGGGCGGTGAGTGTCGCCGAATATGAAATCCAGTTCACAAAATTGTCCCGTTTTGCTCCTGAATTGGTAGCCACGGAGCAAAGCCGTGTAAGGAGGTTTGTGCAGGGGCTAAACGTGGAAATCCAGAAGGGATTAGCGGCTGTTCGGTTAGACACGTTTGCTGACGCTGTTGAAAGAGCTCAAAGAGTTGAAGTTGCTAGAGCTCAAGTAAAATCCTTCCAGGCTAAGAAAAGATTTGGCCCTAGCAGCAGTCGGGAGCCGACTAATACAAATACTCCACCGGCCAAAGTAGGTCGAGGAATGGGTGGAGTAAATAATCCTGGAGCACCACGAGGCGCTCTGGCAAGAGGAACTGGGGCAAGAGGTACCGGAAGGAGAGATATTGATACTAGAGGAGGACCAAGTGTAAGGAATCAGACTAGGAACGCCCTGCAAGGAGGTCGTGTGACCACCCCTCAGGTAATTTGTGGGTATTGCAGGAGGGTCGGCCATACTGGGAATGAATGTTGGATGAGAGAAGGGAAGTGCTTGAGGTGCGGAAGTAGCGAGCACCAAATTGCCGGCTGCCCAAAAATGCAAGAAGGTGGTACCCCAAATGTTAAACAAGCCACTTCTGGGGAAAATAGGCCAAAAGTTCCGGCTAGGGTGTATGCCATAGACGATCAACCTGTACCTGATTCCTCGGAGGTCGTGGAAGGTACTCTTCCAATCTTTCATCGATTAGCTAGAGTATTAATTGATCCTGGCGCAACTCATTCATTTGTGAATCCAATTTTTATGGCCGAAATTGATGTACAACCTGTTAGATTACCCTTTGATCTTGAAGTTAGGACATCTATGGGTAATAAGGGTATAATTACTAGCCTGGCCTATAAGAATTGCGAGTTTTGGATTGGAGAGCGTAAGATGCTAGTAGATCTGATTAGTTTGGACATAAAGGGGTATGATGTAATCATAGGAATGGATTTCCTAGCTCATTACCATGCTAAACTTGATTGTAGAGCCAAAGTGGTAGAATTTTGGATTCTCGGGGAAGCAACCTTGAGATTGGACGTGAAAGGTAGGTTAGTATCATCTGTGACACCCCGAATATTAGGAGGTTGTTTGTAAAGAAGATACTAAAGTGTATTTCTTTGGGTTTGATTTAAAACCTTATTTTGTTTTAAATAGAAACCCTAATTTTAAGTACTGAAATTGTAAAATCCCTCACGTTTTTCTTAAAAATTTCCTTTTATTTGGAAATTATTTATTTATTATAGCCCTACTACCCAATCATTCCACAATGAGTGTAAATAAACCTAGAAAGTAGAGTTTCACTTTTGGTTTCAAGATCGGAGCAAAATTAGGGTTTTCGCGATTTTTCGCCGGATGAATTTTCGATACAGAGTAAGGATTAAATTTGGAAATTAAAAGTGACTTTTAAGTAAGAAATAATATGTGATTAGGAGCAATGATATAAGGTTAGTGAATGGGAAGTAAAAACCCTAGTACGTGTGTTTTTAAGAGAAACGGCGCGAACCGACGGGTACCGCGCACTACCGATTGAACGCACCACTTGACCACCACTTTCTTATCACATGAGCATTAATACTTGAGCAAAATATCCCCCCCTCATTGCCATCTAGCTTGACCGAAAATGTGGACTAAAAATAGCAAGGAAAAGAAAGAGAAAAATGAAAGGTGGTGGTGGCGACAAGTGTCGCCACCTAAGGGTTTCTTGACCAAGACATGGTCATCGTTCTTATCCCAAAATTTTGTTCCTTTTCCCCTCATTATTTCTGTCCCATAGCCGAACAAGGAGAGGAGAGGAAGAGAGCAAGAAAACAAATTCCTTCTTCTTGAGTTGAATCATTCAAGTAAGAAATTGAAATTCCAAACCGATTAAAGTGTGGGTTGTGAGTTGGGAAGCTTGTGGAACCAAGAAATTTCTAAAGGAAGTGGAGTATCACTGTTCCAAGCCTTGTTCTTGAGGTATAAAAATCTGATCATGATCCTTGCTCCTTTAAATTTTGGTTTAAGATGTTATTTAGATCATGTTTTAGCTTGATTACAAGATAAGCAAGTTGTTGTGATGATTCTTGGATGAGATATGCAAGCTAGGGTTTGATTAATTTCTGCCTAACCTTGTTTTATATTTAGTATATGTTGTATATAAGAGTAGATAAGGGGCTTTGGTAGAATTGGAAGCAAGAAAATGGAAGGATTGACTTGAGAATTCAAAAATTCCAGATTTCTGGAATTTCAGGATTTCATTCTGTCCGATTTTAATAGTCATAGTTAGAGGAAAAATTAGGCTTGTCATAAAACATGAAAGTTGTACATAATGGTATTTTATAGGTGACTACAAAATTTCAGCTCAATCGGAGCAACGTAGCCCGTGAAAAGACCAAAATACTCTCACTGTTTTAAGGTTTTTCCCAGTAGTTCGTTTGGTCAGTTTATCCAGTTTATCACGTTTATTCACTAGGATCCGTACTGATTTAGCTTTTTACCAAAACATGAAAGTTTTAGTATTCTGTCCTATATTTTAAACGCCTCCAAGAAAACCTTAATCGGACCTTGGTAACCTGAGATATGACCATTCCAGTGCAGAGCGGTTAAAGAGCCGACTAGTTAGATTTTGGTTCTGTAAATTGAGGATTTGACTAGGTTGCATTGGAAAATGGACTAAGTGATCTTCATGAACATTGTAGCCCTGTGTCTTAGCTTCGAAACGGTACAAGTTGCGCCTCAATTCGATAAGCGTAGCCTCGGATGTGTTATTTCCGCAACCACACGTCAAATCTGTCTTTTGCTAGATTGTATTTCCGCACTTGTTAGTACTTTGATTCTTATTCTTGTGATGTTATGAGCCTATGGAACGGCTATTGACTTGAATTTATGATATATATGACTTTGGGATTGGCTGAGGAAAAATAATGAAGCCTAAATGGCTAGAAAATTAGGTAAACACAAAGGGCGTGCTGCCCAAATTTACGCTCAAGGACTATAGAAATACACTTGCGATTTGGGTAGAGTTGATATGAATATCACTTGAACCATCTAGGGTACTTGAGTCTTCTTGTTCTGAGGTATATAAGTAAGGACTTGGCCGAACTTGTACCCTTGAGAAATGAAATAATGATTGTTCGAAGTATGTTTTCATGAAATCGAACTCCGACCCGAACACACTTGCAAGGCCCCAAGGCGGATTTGGTGATGTTGGAGCTCATGTGGAATAAGAGCAAGACGAAAATCACAATAGTCATTGAGGTACTTGTTCTTTAAACGAACCCTTGGTACACAACCATCCCCAAAATGTGGAGTGTTCCCTTCAAGATGAGCTCGAATCAACTCCCCTTTGGTATGGACTGATTTGAGTTGACATTGTTCCATGAATGGATACCAATGGGGTTTAACTCTTGGAGTACCAACTCCATGGAGGCTTGCAAAGTCTACAATTGATTTTGGAATGGAACGCACTAAGAACAACTCAACTTGCCTGATACGATCCTCGATCAACTTGTTTCGAGACACGTAGCACGTTTGCCCAAGGATCTAGCGAGGTAGTCCAACGCTTGGATTGCGGAACCTAGAATCGAGCGGATGACACGACTTGATTGTAGGTGGTAGAACGACGACTCCAATGAAGGTGATTACTCCAATAGATAGGTCGGTAGAACAATCATGGACAAGACGCAAGATTGCTCAATAACCCTTGTTAAGCTTGTAAAAGGCTCGAAACTCTCTCTTAGAGGAAGAATCGAAAATAGAAGAAAACTTTATTCATCAAAACTTGTCTTTTAGACCTTTCAAGGTTAGCCTTTTTATAGGTTAAAGGTAATAAGAAAAACCCTAAGAAAGCCCTAAAGAGCAGTTGGCCATCTTGGTGTCAAGATGGGTCGGCCTATGCTTCTACTATGCAATTAATCTAACCCTAAGCAACATTAATGCCTAAAGACCCTATCCGGCCTACTCACTTGAAGGCCCACTGGGCAAGGTGTAGATGTCTTGCTTTTCTCCTTCTAGGCCTTTAATATCTCTATGGGCCCCATGTTGGTCTTGGACAATACAGACAAGGTCTTGGAGGGATTCCTTGAAGAGTTTGGCTCGTGCACGTGTGACTGGGCCCAATGGAACTCAGACTGGGTCATTGCGTGGGCCCTGGTCCATGCACACATCAATTCCCTCCTCTTGAGAAGGATTTGGCCTCAAATCTGAATCCTCCTTGTCAAGAAACGGGCTCAAATCCGTGACATTGAAGGTTGTGCTAACATTGTATTCCCCAGGTAGCTCCAATTTGTAAGCATTGTCATTAACTCGTTGGAGTACTCGAAAGGGTCCATCACCCTTTGGGGATAACTTGCTTTGTCGCTGCTTGGGGAATCGCTCCTTTCGCAAGTGTAGCCAAACCCAATCTCCAGGCTCAAAAATCATCTTACGACGGTGCTTGTTGGCCTGCTGGATGTATTGTTGAGTACGCCTCTCAATGTTGGCTCAAACGGCTTCATATAACCTGCGCATAAAATCAGCCTTCTTTTTCCCATCTAAGCTTGTGTGCTCAGAGGATGGTAAGGGTACTAAATCAAGGGGGGTCAGCGGGTTAAAGCCATAAACAATCTCAAAAGGTAAGTAGTCTGTAGCACTGTGGCCGTTTCGAAGCTAAGACTCAGGGCTACAATGTTCATGAAGGTCACTTAGTCCAGTTTCTAATGTAACTTGGTCAAATTCTCAAATTACCAAACCAGAAACCAATTCGTCGGCTGTTTAAACGCAGAACACTGTAATGGTCATAACTCAGTCTACACAAGTCCGAATCAGGTGTTCTTAGAGGCATTTTAAAGCTAATACAGAACACTACAACTTTCATGTTTTGGCCCAGAGCTAAATCAGACTGGATCCTGGTCAAAAAACTTGATAAACTGGACTTAACTGAAGAAACGGACTGCTGGGAATTACTTAGAACAGTAAGGGTATTTTGGACTTTTCACGTCCTACGTTGCTCCGATTGAGCTGAAATTTTGTAGGCACCTATAAAATGTCATTCTCTACAACTTTTATTCTTTGATCTAAGGCCAGTTCGGCCTCTAACACACAGATAAAAATTCGGACAGAATGTTGGGGAAATTTTCCAGATTCTGGAATTTCTAGTTTCTAGTGAATCTTTCCTTAATTTCTTGGTCTAATCACTACTACAACACCTTATAAAACCTCAATTGCAACATATAAGCATCATACAACAATTTGGGCAGAATTTCCACAAGCCCTAGTTCATCAAATAAATTGGGGAAAACTTCTAAAACATGCTAATCATCCATGATTCCACCACAAAATCAAACTACTAAACTTAATTTAACAAAATTGAAAGCAAAACTTAGAAAGATAAACTCTCTTACCTTGAATAAAGGTCACTAAGAGTAGCCCAAGCTCTCTCCTTCAAAAATCACACCACAAGTCACTAACTAGTCACTCAAGAACAAGTTTAATCGGTTTAGTTTCTTTGTTTCCTCACTTTGTGACTTGATTCAAGAAGAAATGGAGAAGCTTTTCTCTTGTTTTTGCTCTCTCTCTCTCACGGTTCTTCAGCAGAAATAATGAGGAAGAATGGTGCAATTTTGGGGATAAGAAAGTTGGACAATGTCTTGGTCAATGGCCTCTAATGGTGTGACACTTGTCACAACCCTTACCAAGTAAAATTTCCTTTTCTTTTCTTGTATTTTCAGCCTCTAATTTCGGTCAAGCTTAGCTGGAATTTAGGAGATATTTTGCTCAAATATTAATGAGCTCATGTGGTAAGAAAGTGGTGGTCAAGTGGTGCGTTCAAACGGTAGTGCGCGGGACCCGCCGGTTCGCGCCGTTTTTCTTAAAAACTCACGTACTAGGGTTTTTACTTCCCATTCACTAACCTTATCTCATTGCCACTAGTCACATATTATTTCTCACTTAAAAGTCACTTTTAATCCCCAAATTAATTCTTACTCTGTACCGAAAATTCATCCGGCGAAAAATCGCGAAAACCCTAATTTTGCTCCAAACTTGAAACCGAAGCGTAAAACCCTATTTTCTAGGTTTATTTACACTTACT